AAATAAAGAGCAGAAAGAGAGAGAAATCCTGGCAAGATGGATGGAGAGAACACAGCCAAGGGCAAGAGAAGGAGGAGACATCCAGGCCTGTTGGATGTTTGTTATGTCCAGCTTGGGAATTCACTTGCTCAGGGAAGCATCAGCCTGCCATAGACTGAGGATCTCTCCAGGGGTTGTGCTGAGATGCTGTGGGAAGAGAGAAAAGACAGTAAAGGAAGAGAAAATCCTTTTGTCCCTTGCAGGAGCAGGAGAATTGAACAAGACACAACTCAGTCCTGTGTGCAAGGATTTGTTTTTCACGGAAGGAAGAGGGGCACTGTGGCTATACATTATATTTGTGTCACCCCGTTTACGTAGATGCATCTCAGGAGACTTTGCAGCTGATTGTGCTCTTTGCATTCAAAGGAAGGAAACCAGCTGGATGCCCTTCCCTCCCACGAGCACGCACAGAAGGGCAGAGGTGAGACCAGACAGCAACTGCTCAGCACAAGGATGCAGGAAAATGTGGCCATTTCCATGAAAAACAGCATTAAAAAGGGAAATTCAGAGCACTGCCTGGAAACCCGGCTGCTTCCCCTGTTTCCAGGTGCACCAACCTGGCTGGAACATTTTGCAAGTATCCTGCTGAATCATCCAGGCAGGTGGATTTGGTTGGTTCTGCCAAGAGGAGCTGGAAGCCTTTTTCTGGCTGAGGTGTATCTTCAAGGGGAAATCCTAGAAACAAACCTGGCACGCACGGATTTTGGCTTGGGCTCACTAAAGCCACGTTGCAAACAAAAAAGGAGGCTGGTGAGGAAGGATGTTTTCAATAGTGTCCATCTGCCTGTCAGTGCAGGAGAGAGGGGACAAATGAAAAACACGATTGGAAATAGATGGGAATTTTGGCTTAGGAGAGATCCTCTGCCTTGCTGACCTTTAAATTGTGGAATCATGGAATTACCCTGAGGATCATCCAGTTCAACTTCTGGCCCTGCACAGACACCCCAAAAATCCCACCCCAAAAATGCCTGAGAGTTCTCCTGGAGCTCTGGCAGCCTTGGGAACATGACCATTCCCTGGGGAGCCCCACCACATTCTGGGGAAAAAAAAACCTTTTCCTAATAAAGAGAAATAAAAGGATCACAGTCAGATGATCCACAGCCACTGAAGTAAAACCAGGCCTGGGTTGATGATTCTTTATCTCCATGTTTATTTTATTCTTAAGTAGCTCCTTTAGTTTATGGAGCATCTTCCAGAAGGAAGAACCTCCACACTGATTGATTAAACAAGTCATTTAATTAACTGCTGGAATTCTGTCACCTCCACAGTGAAATACCTCTGTGCAGCCCTAGTGTGCAGTCGTGTTTACAGAAGCAGCAAAGATAATTCCTCTGGCTGCAAAGCCCATGTAGGCGGTCACAGCACAATTTGGGGTGAGAAATGGGAGCTGCAGGAATAGCAGGATTTCCTAAGCAACACAGATCTGCTTCACTTAAAATATTACAGGAAGAAAAAGAAAAAAAAAAAAAACCAAACCAAACAACAGAAAGATGTTAGGAAGGTTTTAGCTTCAGGACGGAGGAAAAAGCTGATCCCGTTTTATCCCTTTTTGGTATTTTCAAGGAATTGAGGCCTCCTAACCCTAGAATAAAGGTTCAGAAATGAAACCAGTGATGAGGAATCCCTGCCAGGCAGAGACATCCCCCTGCAATGCTCTTCAGACACATTTGGTATCTAGATCCCTTTGACTTTCCCATGCAATTCAGCAGAAGCAGTGAAAGAGCAAAGCGTGAGAAGGCAGAAGTGATAATAAAAACTAAACTAAAACATCCCAGACCCTCAGATAACCACTTCAAGAACAGATCTGTCACCCAGGGGCTCAGGCAGAGCCTTGTCCAAGGAAAACCCATGAGGATGGCAGCATTTTCCTCAGCAGCAAGTCCCAGCGAGCCCGTGGTGGCACCTGAGCAAGAGCAGAGCCTTGGCAGCGTCCCTTTGGCACCTCTTACATAAGTGTTGCACAACACGCCCGGGTTCTGTTTGCAAAGGGCTGGGGATATGAAAAGCAACTGGAAATGCTGCCTGGGTAAGTGGGACATCGAATCAAGGTAAATTATGAAACGGCTCCCGCCAGCGGAATGCAGCTTGGATTTCAATCCAGGTTTTCTCCAAATTCCGGGGCCTTTCCTGCGCTGGGTCTCGCGGTGTTGAACACCAGCTGTGCTCTCCCTCTGTGGGGCATTTTCTCTTTTTGCCTTTTCTCCATTTAGCATCATTTTTACTCAAGAATTCTTCCAGTCCGTGACCATTCAGCACATCTGCTGTAAAATCAGTTCTTTGTGATCTGGCAGCTTGGGCATCAAGAATGTAAGGATGCTTCCCAGGAAGGGCTGTTTGCAACTGGGAAAATAAAGGAAAGATGAATCAGTGGAGAGAAGGGATGGATGAAAATCAACAAATGCTGAGTCACTCTCTGGAAAAAAAGATCAAGCCCTCTGACTTGGGATCATAGGAAATAATGCAGGAAAAGGCCTTGGGAGTTCATGCAGACAATCCCCACAGCACAGCACAGGATCAAACCTCCCTGCCTCTCTTTGACTGGGATACCACGTGCCATAATGGCAAGAGAAAAGGAGAAAATGCCAGTAAATGGGGCAGTACAAGCTCGACCTGAGCAGCAGTTCTCAAAGGGAATGAGGAAAACAGGACCTGAGCCCATCTCAGTTTACTTAGACTTTCAAATTAACACGTTTCCTTTTCCATCCTCTATTTTTTTCCCTCCCCTGTCCATTTCCCAGATGCTTTTCTTTTAATCTCCTCTTTCAACCTATCTGAACACCTCTGACAGTGTTCAGCGTAAGAAACCCCTCCTCACAACACCTGTCTCCTCTCTCCAGCACTGAAGCATCAACAGGCACGTGCAATCTCAGGGATTATTTATAAAAACCCTAATGCAGCTTCTGCAAACCCGAGTGAGCTCCCCGTGGTCACAGTGCCTGGCAGGGGTGGGCAGGATTCAGCTGTCTGCCACGTGAGAGAGCCAAAATTACATGTTTTCTTCTGATGCTGTAAACACAGGGAAGAGGCCAAGGGGAGGCAGTCACAGAGTGTTGGAGGAGGCACTCAGGAATTAAGTATCAGCATATCAATGGGAGCACAACAACACATGGCTTTGGTACATATCAGACGCCTGGAACTGAAAATTGGTTCGTTTTTGAGTGTTCTTCCTGCTGTCAGGAGTGAAGATCCTGCTGGCTTCTGTGAATCCAACAAAGCTGGATGGCCCTGACTGCTGTGGGCCAGAGTATAAAATGATCAGCACTTGCCCAAATCTCCTCTCGCAGATACAATCTGGGGCTCAGTTCCCTTCCCATCCTGCCAGATTTTGTCCCTCTGGTTAACTACCATATTTCCACAGTTTCATCAGATGATCTTTGAGTGCTGTGACATGTGTCTTCCAAAGAGCACTGGGCTGTGGCTTCAGAGCCAGGTTGATTCCAGCACTTGTTGGCATCACAAGTGTGGGCAAACAGTAGCTGAGGTTAAATGTGTGCACTCCCATGCTGATTCACATGGAGTGGGCAAGAGGGAACCCAGAAAGCCAAACACAGCGTGGGCTGCATGCCCAGCAGGGTGGGCAGGAGGTTGAGGGAGGGGATTATTTCCCTCTACTCTGCATTTGTGACAAACCCCACCTGCAGTACTGCCTCCAGCTCTGGGAATATGAGAAGGATGTGGAGCTGCTGGAGCAAGTCCAGAGGAGGCCACAGAAGTGCTCTGAGGGCTGGAGTCCCTCTGCTCTGGAGCCAGGCTGGGAGAGCTGGGGGTGCTCACCTGGAGAAGGGAAGACTCCAGGCAGAGCTCAGAGCCCCTTGCAGGGCCTAAAGGGGCTCCAGGAGAGCTGGAGAGGAACTGGGGACAAGGGATGGAGGGACAGGACACAGGGAACGGCTTCATCTGGGTAAAATGGGATTTGGGGAAGGAATCCCTGGCTGTGAAGGTGGGGAGGCCTTGGCACAGAGTGCCCAGAGAAGCTGTGGCTGCCCCTGGATCCCTGGAAGCGTCCAAGGCCAGGTTAGAAAAAGCTTAGAGCAACCTGGGATAGGAAAAAGGAAAGGAAAAGGACCCCTGCCCATGACAGAGGGTGAAAAGAAATTAGGGAATGAGGGTCCCTTCCAACCAGACCACTCTGGGATTCTACATTACCAACTGTGCTGCACTTAAATCCTCCACAGAAGTGTCCAAGTCCAGCCCTTACGCTGCCTCCTTTGTGCCACATCTGCATGTGCACAGTGAGTGTCTCCTGCTGCCTGCAGGTGCTCCCTGCACAGGCGGAATTGGGGCAGCAAGGCCTGGCTGACCCCAGCCCAGGACAGGATCCCTGTGGTGATTTTGCCCAAGTGTTCCCATGCACTCACCACACGTCCTGGTTGTGCTGGGTGCTCCCCAGCCATGGCCCCTTGTGGGTGGGTGTCCACAGGGGTGCTCAGTGCCCCAGATGAGCCAGGTGCCCTGCCCTGGGGTGGATGCCTCCAGCATGTAGGCGCCTCCAAGTATATCCAGTGCACCCAGGTTTGGTTACTCGAGCTGTGGGTGCCCCAACCATCCCACTGCTCTGGCAGGAATAACCTGGAAGTTGGACCAGCCTGTCTGGCCATACCCCCATGAATGGCCGCTGCTGGTGCCCCCAGTGTGGGTGCCCGCACCATCCCGGAGCCCTGGCAGGGCTAACCCTGCTGTCGGCTGCTCCGGCCCGTGCTGAGCCCCCGGTGGGTACCAGCACCCACGGCGGTGCCGCTCGCCCCGCCCGCGGGCCCCCCTGGCCGCGCGCGCCCCGAGCGTTGGAGCCGGGGCCGGCCCCGCGGGTGCGGTGGGCGGGTGTCCCGGCGGGCCGGGCCGTGCCGTGCCGTGCCGGGCCGGGCCGTGCCGTGCCGGGCCGTGCCGTGCCGGGCCGTGCCGCGGTGCCGCGCCGAGCGGCGGGCGGGGATGCTGCTGCCGCCGCCGCCGGCTCCCGCGCCCGCCCCGCGCCGCCGCCGCAGCCCCGCCAGACGCAGCGCGGCTCGGAGCGCGCACGGAGCCTCCCGCAGCCGCCGCCATGGCCCGGAACCGCCGGGACAGGAGCAGCTGGGGTAGGGCGGCGGCGGCAGAACCGGGGGGGAGCGGGGGGAGCGCGGACAATGCCGGGCCTGAGGCGGCCGCGGGCCGCGCCGGGGCGGGGCTGCGGCGGGAGGACGCGGGCGGGGGGCTCGGCCGGCCCGGGCGGGGCGGGGGGCTGCCCGGTGCCGAGGGGACACACGGGTGTGTTGGGACACCCCCGCGCGATCCCTGAGGGCGCTGGGGTCCGCCCGCCCCGCCAGCCTGAGGGGGACCGGGGGTGCGGGATGGGGCGCCCCTCGCTCCGCGGCCTCCTGAGGCGAGGTGTCCCCGGCTTGCGCTGGTCGCCGCCCTCGGCTTGGCTGCAGCGGGACCCCCTGGCACAGCCGGGGCCAGACAGCCCCGGCAGCTCCCGGGGAGCCTTTGGGATGCCGCGGCTCCCTCCGGCTCGCCCTGCCAGCCCGTACCCCGGCCCTGCTGTCCCCTCAGCCCCTCACGGGGAATGCCGCCTCCGCCACCACCCCACCTCATGCGGGAGCAGGGATCCCGCTCACCCCCTTCCGCAGGCAGAACCACCAGGCCAGCCTGGCTTGTCACCCCAACAGAGGGTTTCCCCCGCTTCTGGAAGCTGTGGGATTTAGTTGTCGAGTCACCCTCCAGACAGGGCCCGTTTTAAACCCATCCCCTCCCAGCCCCTGATCCCGGGGGAGCCGGGCAGCAGTGCCGGGGAGCAGAGTGGGAGGAAGTTCTGTGGATTTTTCCTGCGAGGCTTCGGTTCCCTCCGGATCCTCCAGCGGCTGCTGCTGCCCCTGGAGCCCAGGCTGGTCCCACAGGTGGGCTGCACCCAGCAAGGGGCTCCTCCACCTTCACCTGCCTGTGATGTATCGCTTCACCCACCCCCACCGACACGCTGTTCCGTAGGAAATCAGATTTTATCCAGACAGTTCCCGTTATTTGAGGAGAGTTAATTTGCCGTTTCCTCCGGAGTCGTAATTCCGTGTGAGATCACTCACGGGTGCCGGCCGTATCCCGGCTCCTCAGGCAGAGCGGGTGAGCCGAACTGTGATGTTTAGATACACAAATTACATTCTAATTTGTGTAGATGAGCGTAGGATTTCCCATGGCAATGATTAACAGTTCGGCGGCATGCTGGAGGAAGCGTTGGGATAACGGAGCGGCTGATCCGGTGATGGGCTTTTTGGGATAGAGGGGGGGACAAAATGGGCGAAGCTCATTTGATCGGTGCCGTGTTTAGCTGTGACTTCAGGAAGGTCCTCAGATCCTTGGGTAAAGCGGAGGGAAAACTTGCCAGGGAATGTGGTGCCATTCTCAGCTTTGTCTCGCGGAGCGTGTGACAGACGTGGCAGCCCTGACTCCGTGCGTGCTGGGAATTGCACACACGTCCACACGCTGGTGTGGTGCCTTCCCCGCACATCCTGAGAACAGGAGGAGGGAATGCAAATGATGGAAGTGGAAAAAGCATCATCCTGGGAAGTACAGCCTGCATCTCCAGCAAGGGATTTAGGCACATTTCTCAGGCTGTGCAGCTGAGCCCTGCTCCCGGGAAATGTGATGTGTCACTGATAGGATGAACTCTACCTGAGCTTCTCTGCAAGAATCTGAAAGCGTCCATGGATCCAAGTGGATCTCTGTGGGATCAGCTGCCTACTGCTGCCACCCATCCACAGCTCAAAATCATTCCCTGTATCCCATAGACATTCATCTATTCCTAGAGGATTTCCTGGCTTTTTGCCAGGCGGGTTGACATTGTGAGCAAGAAATTAAGAGAGTGAAATGCTTCAATATTTTACTAGGAAAGAAAAAGAAAAAGTTGCCTTTAATAAATTCATTTATTCTATTTATACAACAAAACCTCATTGCCTTGAAAGCTGTGTTTACATCCAGTGACTGCAGCATTGTGTGGTGACATCAGTCCATGGGGTGACTATTCCACTGCTACATTTTTCAGCTGGCAAAGGAGGAAGCTTGGGCTTTTCCTGAAACTAAGGCAGAAAGGAGAAAGTCCTTGCTTTGTTCCAAAAATGGGCTTATGGGTCATTAAAAATATTAACGCTATTTTGAAACGGATCAAACTTTGCCCTAGTTACTCAGGCCTGGAAACAGGCAGCTGCTTAGTCTAACCCTCCTTTGTTTCATAAAAATCATTTGCTTTTTTAAAGCTCACAGAGCAAATTAGGATGAGTATGTGGGATTGCCCCTGGTCATAGCTTGGGTCTCTGTCACATCCCTGGGAGCTCTGCAGGGGTGTGTGATGCATCCAAAGTAGGATTTAGCCTTGGGCTAAAGGTCAGCATCAGGTTATGCCTCATTTAAGGCTTTTCCTGAACGTGCCAAGCGGTGCATAGACCTCACAACGGCTGCCAGCTGAATGGTTGAGACAGCTGCAGATGCAAAAAAATCCCAAATAATTTCTTGCTGTGAGTAGTGGACCCTGCTTTGCCCACAATAAGGATTGTTAGTCCAAGTTCTGCTTGGCATGGTGAAATCCAGCCACCTCATGGAGGTTTGTAATAGATTACACTGATTTTTGTCTGAAATTCTTTGTGCTTGGCAGTTGCAGATGTTCAGCAGCCTCTGATGCAGTGAGATCCCCGCTCCCAGTCACTCCTTTAAACAGCACAGACTGGAACAAATCATGTGAAATCTCATGTTTCCTATCATGGCCAATTTTGTGTTGGAATTGGAACGGTCCATCTACCTAGAATTCAGTTTTAAAACCATAAAAGGGATTACAGAGGTTATAGATACTTCTTGGTGAGGGTTTTCAAGCTGGATATCCATCTATCTAGAATTCAGTTTTAAAACCATAAAAGGGATTACAGAGGTTATAGATACTTCTTGGTGAAGGTTTTCAAGCTGGATAGGGGATTTAGGAGAGCTCTTAAAGGGAGCCAGGAAAAGCCAAGGAATTGTTTTGAGGGGAAGGGACTCCTCCTGCATAGGCCAGGGATCACCACTGCCTCATCTTAGACTGCACACAATGGGTTAAACTGAGAAGAAAACTAGGATTTTGGTGGGTTGTTTTTCATTTTAACCATGTTAACATCCTTTCTGCTTGTTGTTTGATTTCTGACCTTTTATGATGGATTTTCAGTTTCCACTTCCTGGCATTTCTTTGTGACTCTGAATGCTGGGGACCTGACAAGTGAAAGCTGAGATGTTTCATAGAGAGGGGCCTTTACACAAAAAGCCAGAAATATTCACAACTAAATGACTGGCTTGTGAAAGAGAAAAGAAAACGAAGTGCTGGGACTTGAAAGAAGAGTTGAGTCAACATTTCAAGCTGAATGTGATTATGGAATCATGAAATGGGCAGGGACACTTTCCAGTAGATCAGGTTGCTCCAAGTTCCATCCAACCTGGCCTGGAACACTTCCAGCTTCTCTGGGCAACCTGTGCCAGGGCCTATCCACCCTCACAGGGAATTTTTCCTAATATCTCATCTAACCCTGCCCTCTGGCAGTGGGAAGCCATTCCCTGTGTCCTGTCCCTCCAGGTCCTCATCCAAAGTCGTTCCCCCATGGTTGTTGTGCAGGCAGCAGCATTGTACAGGGAATTGGAATAGCTGGGACCCACCAGATGAGCAGGAGCAAGAGCAGCCTGACTTTCTCTTTTTGGGGAAAATCCAGGATGGCCTGAGCCTGCCTGGGAGTGGTGACACGGTGCCCTTGTCCTGCCTCATGTCATGGCCATGCCACGAGTGGCTCTGGCCTTGGCTGCCTCCCTGATTCATGGAAGTGGGAAGCAGCATGTGGCGTTGGCTGTGTCTTGCTGCATTTTCCCTGCTAAGCCCATGGGTGACAAACAGCACACTAAAATGTTGTTTAGGGCCTGGGTGATGTTCAGAGGCAGCAGGCTGTGTATCAGCTCCCTGGATCACTGACTGGAACCTTCTCCAGCGGGGCAAGGAGGCTGGGGCAGGTATTGTCATGCTCTGTGAGGCACAATGTGTCCCATGGATCACTTCTGAAAGTCACTTCACTCTAGAGACCCCCCAGCTCCTCTGCTCCTGCCAGAAACACTCCCATTTGCCATCAGGAAAAGTGAAGTGTTACAGCAGGAAAATAACTGAACACAGATCTCCCAAATGGGATGGAGGCTCTGGAGAAGGGGCTGAGTTCTGCCAAGCCCATAAAACACACTTAAAGCACTTTATATACATAAGCATTTTATGCAGAGTGTAATTACCTTTCATGTTCTGTCCTAAAATTTCAAGGCATGTTTACCAAACTTTATTTTCAGGCAATTTTAGCAACAAAAAGGTAAAAATAATATCAGAAAAAAACTAAATCCAGTACTGGTGGTGGAGATGAAGGGAGGTTGTTGCTGACAAATAGAGCAGATGAAGAAAATGTGTGGTGGGAGGGAAGAGGGAATTCTGGAGATGTGTCCCTGGAAGTGTCCAAGGCCAGGCTGGATGGGGCTTGGAGCAATCTGGGATAGTGCAAACGTTCCTGCCCTTGATAGGGGGTGGAATGAGATGTTCTTTAGGTTCCCTTCCAACCAAACCATTCTGAGATTCTGTGTTACCCTGGAGAATATGGGAAATATTTATGGGAAATATGGGAATAGGCTTAAATGTGGGAAACCGAGAGCAGGCCCAGAGTTTGCACCTGACAAACAGAGAATGGATTTTTGCTGGTGCTGTTCCAACAGTGTTTTGCCTGTGGGAGGTGTCCACCTTGCCTCTGACTCAGCCATTCCTGCTACGTGAGATGTCATGGGCAGAGCCACATAACTGTCTAACCTGACCTCAAACTTCCTGAAAAAATTCTACAAAAAACCTCCGATTTGTTTCATTCCCCAGGTAGTTGCCTGCCCGTGTCTCCAAAGCTCAGCCTTGGAATTTGACAGCAGTAGGAACTGCTCTTGCTTCAGAGCCAGCTAAGCGCTGGAGCTTCACGTAGTAGGTGTTGTAATTAAAAATTTCACATTGTACTTTGGCATTTGAGATGTTGTAACAGGCAGGTTTGGGGGCCAGTTATCATCCAGACTCTTGCTCCTGTCAGCAGTG